CGGGGCGACCGATCAAACTCCTGGATGCCTTTTCTTGCCAGAAAATGGCCGACGAAATCACAACGGCCTTTTATGTGTTGGCAGAAAGGTTCTCCGTACTTAAATCATTTTCCGACGCCTAACAACAGCAACCAGCATTTTGGGTACCTACTGAGTGGCTTACCAGTCTCCGGTTGCGCTGCTTTGCCAAATTACGCTCGTCTCGGAATAGTTGTTACTTGATCGCCGCATTGACACTTTACACCAAGATTTCAGAATCACTGATGATCTACAAACTGCGTTGGAACGTCTTACATGAAAACCCAAGCACGGTACGGCATCAGTTCACGCAAACTGCTTTCTCTTCCCCAATGTGCTGATGGGGTTCCCGACGTGTGCACACCTTCCTGAGGGAGGGCTTCCCATTTACGGTGGTGCGGGTTGAACTCGATAAGATCCCGGTAGCTTGTACCCGTTGTTTCGTTATCACCAAAATTACTGTTCGCTGTGGTGGTCTTCAAAAGTCGACCACATCATGCATCATCACGCGGGTGCAGCTTGCCACGCTTGAATTTGGTGTCATTCAAACACATTATTCATTGAAGTCGCGTGGTTGAGAGACGATTACCAATTTTGAATCTTCGCTAGCAAATCTGGTTTCTCTGTCCCGCTATCTTCCGATTGGTCGAACGCTCCACCGATGTCTTTCAGGCGGTACGATTCTCATCCTTGGATTAGATGGTTCAAACGCGCCATAATCACTGTTTTGTACAGGCAGGAAATAACCTCAATTCTTGGAAAATCCCCATTTTGGCATGAAGAAAACACCGTTTTTAACGAACAATCTCGTATTTGACAACTTCGTCTTTGGAGTGAAAAGTGGTCAAATTAAATTTGAAATGTACTTCATTGTCTACATTTGATCCGTCGTTTGTAATTGTTTTTGTATGGTTGGGAAAGGGTGGGGAGGGAGGATTTGTTTGTAACTGGAAAACGTTTAGAATGTGGACCTGTGATCACATGTTTCAGTGGCGAATTGATGAGAAAGGTCACGTCTCCTCTTAAATCCAATGCCATTACACAACAGCTGAAGCAGTGGCCATTGTATTATTTAACCGATGACTTTGAGTTATGTAGTAAAATAAAATATCTGATCTACAGTGAAGTTGTGGATGTTTAACGGCTGTTACGTATATGTACTTGGGATCAAGATTTTGGCTCACAATTCGTAATCATTCTGATACTTGCTAGAATGCTACATATGCGATGGCTCAGTGATTTCACTTACCATGGTGACCCAAAGCAGACATACCAAACTAACGAGACACATTAGTCACACTGGCTCTGTGATTGTATTCATCAATGTATGCGATAATACCACTGCTAATGAGCTCAGTGTAATTGTCTGTCAACCCGGTCAGGTTTTCCTAATTTGTATTTATGTTGGTATTTGTATGACTTGTGTACGCATATATGCTTTTATTTCAGTTAGAATGCACACTGTTCGCAAAGTGGAATTAAATATACCGTTCCATATACCGTGCAACGTGAGGGATGTCCCGGATGTTTATTTCACGTACAAGACTGTCAGCGTAATTCACTTGCAACCTGCTTCTTTTCGGGTAGGAGTCGTACCAGGTTAATTACAGGAGAATCTTAAAGAAATAATAATACGAGAAGGTATACGTCGAAAACAATGGCATGTGGACGAAGGAGAACGTCACGGCGGTAGATCTTGATACAGGGAATGTGGAGCATCGTCTATAAATTGATTGGTAAATTTAACAAAATAGTTAATGTGACCAATCAAAATTTACGTGATAAAGTAATGCATTGAGTTTATTGATTAACGACTGCTTTTCATCAAACTAGGACGAATGACTTTGTGGTTTTGTGTGAGGGACCCGGGCAACATTAAAGGGAGCAATAGAGTAGGACTGGTAAAGCACATTGATAAACTAATTAGGACCAACTTTGTGTTCCGGAATTGCGCGAGTTTGTGCAATAGAAAATTTATGCGTCTCAGTTTTCTCAGACAATTTGAAAAGTGTGCGGACCAATGAAGGTTGTTGTTGATTGCGACACCCAAGTGCTTGACTGAGGTCCATCTGGATATAGTTTTACAATTGCAAGTAGCAGAGCCCAATGGACATAGTGGGCGGAAATGACTGGAGGCACACTCCACTCACAGATTATTTAGGACTGAAACTAGTTTTCTTGGAAAACTGTTGGACGCGGGAAACATGTTTAATAAAAGGAAAAAAAGACGTCGTCAGCAAACATTTTGATGCACGCAGAAGTGAGACGGAAAGATCACTAATAAAAGCGGATAATAC